GAAACCCCAACCAAAATCCAAGACAGAGAACAAGAAAACGGCAAAGCCCTCCTCCCATATATAAAAGGCACTACAGACAAAATCAGCAAGATCCTCCAAAAACACAACATCAAAACAGCATTCTGCACAAACAGAAAAATATCCACCATCCTAAGAAACCCCAAAGACAAAATCGAATTAGAAAACCAAGGAGTATACGAAATCCCCTGCACTGCCTGCCCTACCACATACATTGGACAAACTAACAGAAGAATAAATGCACGCATTGAAGAACATAAGAACTCAATCAAAAAAGAAGAAACGTCCTCTTCCCTGGTCCAACACCTCAAAGCCACAGGACATGAAATTGATTTTAAAAATACCAGAACTATCGCCAAAACCGAACACTTCAACAGCAGAATAATCAGAGAAGCCATAGAGATAGAAAAACGCCCACACAGCATGAACAAACGAGATGACACCTCCCGCCTTCCAGCCATTTGGAAACCCGCCCTCATGAACAGAGGAGTACCTAACATGAAGAAGGACACCAGACCCACACCCATGAGAGCCATACAAGATGCCACCACCACACTTCCATGTAGAAAACAGACTCTCACCCACTCAGAAGATGAGACACGACCATGGACCAGAAGCTGCACTACAGCTGCATCACTACCCACTTCAAACCCCTCCGAGCCATACATGAAGCAAACCGACACCCACTATGAAGATGCAACAGGACCACGAACTAGAAGCCAAACAGCAAGATCACAACTCACCAGCTCAAATCCCCCAGCAACTAAGACTAACCGGAGCACAGCCAAGCCCCCACCTGAACAGAACACGCCTCCAACCAATCAGAACACGGCTAACCCCCCAACCAATCAGAACACAACCAAACCCCCTACCAATGAGAACACACCCCCACCCAATCAGAACACAGCCAAGCCCCCACCCAATCAAGTCCCACCCCCACTGGCAGTTAAAAGGAGGAAGCAGCTGCAATCTCACATTACTCTGAAAAGCACAGAGCCGGAGACAGAAGCCTGAAGATGATGAATGAAACTTCATCGAAACGTTGCCTAGATACTTCGAATCTTACGCGGGAGAAAACCCGAACAACCAAAGATCCACATATAAATACCCGCGAGAACCTCAGAAAACAAATATATATATATATATATATATATAAATTTTCTACATTGTGTATAGACTATACAGTACGTATAGTATAGCACAGATTTTTGTTTTTGAAAAATCATTTTATTATTTAGAATGACATACCGTGATTGGAAACCAAATTCATTATGTTCCTCTTCCAGACCACTACTATCACTCTGCTCTTCAGGTTCCTGTTCCTCTTTGCCTGGAAGTGTCTCCCAGCTTTCATCACTGGACGACTGATCTTTCACAGTCACAGAAAAATAAGAAGGCAGGGATGCAGACCATTCACCATCACTGCATTCTGAGCTGCAATTTGAGAGAGTCCAGTTGCACTTAAAGATTGATAAGAGTTAATATTTGCCATGATTCAATCAAGCTGAGCATAAAATGGAAAAGATCCAAATGCATGTCTAGCTTTCCCTTTGGATATGGACATGCTCAATTTTGGATGGTTCTGTCCATACAAGTGAGGCTATAATTTCCTCCTAAAATCATATTACAAAAAAGAAATCTCTTACAAATTCTCCTAGGAGAGACCAAACAGAAAAAGCTACTGCTTCATTCATCCCGAAATCCTAATCTTGCCTCCTATTAAAGAAATAACATAAAATATTTGTAATCTGATGGGAATGTTCTGAGAAAGGAGCACCAAGAAAGTTAGGATCTATTTTATTAAAAATCCCCACTCGGGTATTACACTTTAGATTCCTCAGCAGCAGACTAGACTGGCATAATGCAAAGAAAAATACTTTCTTTCAGCTCATTTCTGATATGAAAATGTATATTTAATATAGGACTGGCAATAAACATATTTTAGGCTTCTAATAAACATGTTGAGAACATGATGAAACAATCAATTTTATGGACATTCATATATTGATCTTTTCTTCTTCTTACACATATCTAAATTTTAAACAGAAACGGCAAATAAATAAATAATAAATGAACAGGCAGACGGTATCTTGCTAGCATCAAATATGCTAAACGTAATTTGTTCCTTTGAACATCCTAATTATCAACCATATCATAAGGAGCTAGATACAGAATAGAAATTCCTGAATATTTTAAGCTTTTATTTTTATATATAAATTATGATCTTTGTACTATGTGTCATTTATCCCTTGTTCTCAACATTACATAATCCCAGTTCTGAACTATTTGCTAACAGGACACCACTGTAAAATTCCAGTACTTTCCAATTACATTTAAAATCTAAAGCCTTTTCCTAATGATATTGGACAGCAATGACTGTAAGCACTAAGGGAATGATTAATAGGAAACTTGGAGTGCTGCCAGTTTTAAGACATATGACTACTTCCATTATTTTCTATTTTTCTTGATTATTAAATAACTTACATCACAAAGTAGATTCAACATACAAAATAAAAGGGATATAAATCTAATGTAATAATAATATGGATAGAAAAATAGCATTGGTTTTTGTTTAACAAAATCTTGAAAATTTCATTTTCATTCAAATCAAGGCAATATTTTTACTATAAAATACTTTTATCATCCTAAAATTATGAAACTAAAACCTTCTCATTAAATATTAAAACTGTAGACACAATTTCAGAATATTTATGCTTGTGTTCCAAATCCACTATCCCCTTATTTTAGGTATATACAAAAAAAATCTAAATCAGTTTGAGACTTCTAGAAATTCTCAACCACCATCTTAGGCTTCCAAAATTTTCTTTGTATTATTTGAAGGTATGTTTCATCTTCAAGAGACCCCAACTGTACACAATGGGATATTCCTCACCCACAAGGAAAGCGAGGCAATAACCTGGGAGAAAGGTTGGAGTAATGTATTAATCTTAGGTTAATGTTTCTTTCTTTGGAAGCCAGGTTCAAGGTACAAAGCAAACTGAGCATTTATCAATTCTTCAACACAGTTTTAAAGAAGAAGGAACATTTCTGGCAGATTCATATTTGACAGAAATATAGTGAAAAGTAAGAAAATGCATTCAAATATTCAGGAAAAATATTGTAAGCACTGATCTAACATCAATACCTGGGAAGATACTGGAAAAGATAATTAAAAAACAGATCTGCCAACACTAGAAATAAGTGAAGTAATAACTACCAGTCAGCACGGCTTTCTTAAAAACAGATCATGCCAAATCAATCTTATTTCATTCTTCAACACAGTGACTAAATAAGTAGACCAGCGAAATATTGTGGACATAATATACTTAGATTTCAGCAAGGCATTCGACAGAGTAGACCACAGCCTACTTTTTGGTAAGCTATAAAAAAGTGGGAAAGATAGCACCACCACCAGATGGATTAGCAACTGGCTGACAAACTGTACTCAACAACTAGTCCTTAATGGGTCTAAATTTACATGGAGGGAAGTAAGCAGTGGGGTGCCACAAGGTTCTATCTTAGACTCTTTAATATCTTCATTAATGACATAGATGAGGGAATAGAAGGGGAACTTACCAAATTTGCAGATGATACTAAGCTGGCAGGAATAGCTAATATCAAAGAAGATAGGCTCAAGATCCAGATGGATCTTGACAGACTAGAACACTGGGCCATATCTAATAAAATGAAATTCAATATAGAGAAAAGTAAAGCCCTACACTTAGGCAAGAAAAACCAAAAATAGCCATATAGACTGGGTGAAACCAGGCTCAATAGCAGTAACTGTGAGAGGGATCTTGGAGTCTTAGTGGACAACCAGCTAAATATGATCCAGCAGTGTGCAGCAGCAGCCAAAAAAGCTAATGCAATCCTAAATTGCATTAACAGAGGGATACAATCAAGATCAAGTGAGGTACTAATACCACTTTATAAAGCCTTAGTAAGACCACACCTAGAGTACTGCATCCAGTTTTGGTCACCACATTATAAAAAAGATGTTGAGACTTTAGAAAAAGTACAGAGAAGAGTAACCAGGATTATTAGGGGACTGGAAGCTAAAACATATGAAGAACAGTTACAGGAACTAGGCATGGCTAGTCTAGTGAAGAGAAGGACCAGGGGAGACACGATAGCAGTTTTCCAATATTTGAGGGGCTGCCACACAGAGGAAGGGGTCAAGCTATTTTCTAAAGCATCCAAAGGCCAGACAAGGAATAATGGGTGGAAACTGAACAAGGAGAGATTTAAGCTGGAAATAAGGAGAAATTTTCTGACAGTGAGAACAATCAATCAATGGAACAGCTTGCCCTCGAAAGTTGTGGGAGCGCCATCACTTTAGACTTTCAAGAAGAAATTGGACTCCCATCTGTCAGAAATGGTGTAGGGTCTCCTGCTTGGGCAGGGGGTTGGACTAGATGACCTATAAGGTCCCTTCCAACTCTGATTATCTGTTATGTATTCCATTCACCCCCAAAAATCTTCCTAGTTCATTACAAAGTATCATAATCCTTTAATAGTGATTATGTAAGATGAACCTTCCCTGCAACTTAAGTTTCACAAGTAGTTTTGGCAGATGGAACATTTTAATTTGAACATATTAATACTACTTAATCATATGTCAACAGGTTGTACAGTTTCGTATAATCTTCAGTTTAATCAAACCTAAGAAGTGCATTAACACTGCATTTCCACAGTTCAAAACAAATAGAACACAATGGAAAGTCTTGAAGAATAAAACTAATTACATGAAGGGGTGGTAATTGTTTACCTTGTACTTGCTCTGGAGGGTTTCCCAACCCTTTGGACCAACTTTTGAAGGTCTGAGAATTAAGAGGAAAACTCTTTGATCGTATGAAGTCGGATATTACCTATGCATTTAATCATGTCTTACACTTTTCAGTTCTTCATTGTTGTGCATTTTTTACCTAACTACAGAGACAGTCCTGCACATAGGCAAGTTGCTATCAGATGCCAATAATATAAAATTGTTAAATGCTCTTAGGATGTTTAAATAATACCACTGAAGAAAAAATTAACTACATTTATGCTATTTCGTTGTTAATGTTCAAGTCAGAGATCATTGAGCAGAATTCTTATGTAACGGTCGTCTTCTTACTTTTCCCCTCAAAAATTACTTCAAAAGATTAATGGATTAGCTATAATCTTAAAAATTTAAGATTGTAACGAGTGGTGGTATTCCTCTGAACACATTTGAGTGCTTTTCTATTCCAGTAAGATTATTTGGGATCCAAGCCGTGTTGTTATAGAAGTCACCAAAATATTCTTCCCGGTAGAAGAAATTTATTTCCAAAAACAAAAGTACTGCAAACCACATTTTTGTTTAATTTCTCAAAACATTTATTTATTGATAGAAAAAAATTAGATGAATACATTTAGCTAAATGGATTGTAATATTTAAAGGTATAGTGCCTGATCCAGCCACTTTTAAGTACAACACAAAATTGGAGGAAATACTCAGTATCCTAATAATATCTGAAAAGAAATTAGAACACTGCAAAGTTGAGGATTAGGGAACTTTTTGGTCAATTTAAAATTTACACATATTAACCAAAAATATTCAAGTATTTGGAAAATGTAAAATTAAACTTCTTTTTAAAAAAAACTTACCTGTCATCTTCATCTTTGTTGGAACTAGATAGATTTCTACCACAATCTTCAAATTCGTCCCAGAAAGCACTATCATCTATTTTAATTTTTTCTTGAAGACTTGACTTTTGTTTCCTTGGTTCATTTTTTACTTTCTTTTCAGCCAATTCATACTCTTTGGGATCAAAAACCATATTAGATTTTTTTTCTTTAGTATGCTTTGAGATAATTTCAGCATTGCATTGCTGGTCATTCACATTATCTTTCCACATTTTACTACTTCTCTTTTCTTCCTCTTCATTCACTACAGACTGTTTTTTATCAATCTCGCTAACAGGATTCTGTTTTCTAACTTTGGGTCTTACTACCAATTCAGCTGAATTCTCTTGGTCCATCTTCATGCTTGTAGTACTCAGTGCATTACAAATTCCTACATGTGTCCTAATTGTAGACTCAGCTGTATTACTGATTTTCTGTTCTAAATCACAAGTAGAAATACGGTTACTTTTTGCTAAAGTTTCTTCATTAGATATTTTCAAAAGTGATTTATTTTGATAAACAGTATCTGATTCTATGCTAGAAAGTCTTCTAAAAGGCACTAATCTAAGATCTTCAAAACTTTTACTTATGGTATTATGACTGAAACTAGGCAGATGTGACTGCAGATCACTGAAGGAGTCCATATCTTTTTCTAACCTGGAAAGCATATTGTCCAGTTTTTCTTGAAATAGTCCTGTTTCTTCTTTAGCTAATGCGATAGCACTTTGGAAACCATCTTCCTCTCCATCACTGCTGTCTGGTTCATAAGAGTCAATATTTACAAAGGCAATTCCATTCTGGTCATGAAGATTATTGCACTCTTCAGAAGTAGACTCCTCATTGTCATTAGAATTCTCATTGTTGGCAACATTTTGGTGATCACACAAATTGTAGCATGTTGGAGGAAACATGGAAGTATCTGTGTTGATAGCTTGGCTAGAATCAGCTTCACAAACAGGTTCTTCTGATCCAACATTTGGTAATAATGATGTAGCTACCAATGGAGAACATACTTGGACATGTGGACTGGAACCTTTATGCAGAATTATAAAGAAAGATACAATGGAAGGATAAGGCCAGTTATTGGATTATATAGTAAAACAGACATGTTAAAATCAGCAATTAAAGATGTTGTATCAATCTACAGCTTTTTTTTAACAAACTAGCAAAGTGCTATAGACTCGAGTATAAATCATCAGAACATAATGAATATATACAATAAGTCATTAAGAAAAGTGGCTAGGTATCACAACAACTAAGATACTTCTCATTTTCGGAAGAAAATATATTTACAACAATTTGCAATTCTACCTCATTTTTCAATACTACACCAATAGTTACTAATGTACTGTTTATTGACATGATTCCAATGGAAAAATAATTTTAAAAGTTTTAAGTTTGTTATGAATAATCAAACACATTGGTGGATACAGCTCCATTGTTCCAATTAGACACATCTTGCCAGCAAAAATTACTGAGTAAATCAGGGATCTTCCCTCATTTTGTTCAGGGATACATAAAAACAAGAATGTTCAGCTTGTTAATTAGCTCAACAAACTATATTAGAATTGTAGAACAGATAATGAAGGATCAGATGCAGCACTAAAAAAATTAGAGTCACTTCAAGGTGAGATGGGCAGCAAACTAATCAATAAATGAGGATAAAGGTTCTTTTTTTAAACAAAAAGAGGTATAAAGAGCAGATACTAGCAATAAAACAGTGTTCACTACCATGCTTGACTATTCATAATAAATCAGCATTTTGACTTGTCTCTACAGCTATGTATTTAAACAATGAAATTATATAATTGTAGCATGCTATATAATACTTCAAAATCATTATATAGTATTAATTTGCTATCTTCATTAAGAATAAACTTGTTCTGAAAATCTTATGCAATTGCCCACTAGTAAACATAAATTATTTTCTTATAGATTAGGAATAGGGTATTTTATCATTAATATTAAACAGAATCACTCCAAATATATAGTATTTCATTTAACATGGCACAAGTAGTGTCACTACATTGTGAACAGATGTTTCATTGATAAGATTTTATTTGATTCTAGATTTGCTTCCTCTTTCCCTTCATCAAACTTCCTCTTTAATGTTTCTCATTTAGGAAAAAAACATTATGATGGAGTTTGAGGTATTTAGTTACTGATGTTTGCTTCTGATTACTATTCTAATAGTACACATAATACCTTTATTGTAATTTACATTCTATGTGTTTTGAGTCAGCTTTGGTAAAAGTAATATTATGTAAATGAGTTAAATAACTACAAAGGCATTGAACCTAATATTGCTTCTATGAGTGCAATAATACAATTGAGGGATATTACTTTGTACAATTTGATTGAAGAAAACTTCTAATAGCTCTTAGAATATTTAAAATGCAAGCAGATTTGGCAAAACCAATCACAGAGATTTGACAGTATTCAACATAGAAAGAACCAATCATATAACGATAAAATTTCGAAAGGCAAACTGCCATGAAATATACCAATTAAAACAACCCTGAAAATAATAATGAATTAGAAATTACAGGTATGGTAGAAAATAATGGACACCCCAAAATATTGATATTCAAAGATACGATATTTGAATGTATAATAAAAGAAATGAGCACTGATGACCTACTTTTATCATCTATTTTATATATGTCAGGCTGACTTAAAAATAAATAATGCAAACCGGGGAGTAGATTTGGATTACAATGTAATAACTACATATTATTTAAATAAGGTTCAAATGTATTTATAGATTAAAAAGATCAATACAATATATCTAAATTATGTTAAGTTCACAACATCCTAGCTTTTTGTGCAATGGTTGCCCAAAGTCGAGTTTTCTCTGAATCAAACAATAGTAATTTGTAATTATGTGACACACACACAATAAATTTTCTTTTAGAACACTGTCTAGTTCTAATCCTTCACATTCTTCTGTGTGTTGGTTTGAGTATCTTTCTTGATTCATCAGAGATGGTCTAAAACTGACATAGGCATGTCTTCTTCCATATCTTCTCCCTGTAATAGTTTGATAGCCTCCTGCTGGTTTTGGCCATGTGGGTTTTCCAGCTTCCTGACCCATCACTGCAAGAGAGGGGGAGAGGGGAAAGGTGGAAAATATAATTCTAAATATAATGGAACATAGTTTTAATTAATTTAATTTTAGTTTTAATACTAAACATGTTTGTGGTATAAATATAAATCCTAACAAAAGAGTATCAATTAAAGTAAATAATCAATTACCACAATATTTTTTCAATTATTCTAGAGACAGTATTATAAGATTCATGTATATTGTAATATTGATGAATGCCCTTGGCACAACATAAAGGATTTCTAATTTTTAATATTTTAACATATATTATAAAGTATGCTTTTTTAATTTAGGGGAGCCAGAAAGCAGAATAGAAACTGCCAAACAAACCACTGATCACCTTTCAAATTCTAATCTTAGTACTAAGCAATCTTCCATTAGAGAAAGAATGACTCTACTAGAGGCTATTGCAATGTTTTCTAGCTTTAACCATATTAAACTTTATAAAAGAAAAGGGAGAAATGGAGAAGTAAAGAAAGTATGTGCATGTGTATGCGTCTCTTTATAAATCTGGGGGCTATGGGAAATAAAATGAAGAGACTTGAAAATTGGGGACAAAGCAAGTGAGCAAATATACTGTACAAGAGTTCCAAACGGAACTAGATAAGTGAAATATTTTATATAAGCGAAACTGGAAACAAACCCATACCAGGCAGTAAGCATAAATTTAGTTTATTTATGTAGTTTATATCTGTCTCAATTAGCAAATGGTTTAAAATTGGTTTGCATTATGATAGGAAGATTTTCAATATTGTTATAAAAATGAGTTTGGGTAATGTCCATTTTGAAGATTTACCATTTTGTGATACTATACAGTGACTTATATATTTTCATACTGTACATTAGATAAAATCTTATTGTACAAATACTCTTAGACAAAATATGTAATGAAATATTTTGTTCATATTCCTCAAAATGTTCATTTATCTTTTGGGTGGAAACACCTCTTAATTTCTCAGAATGTTCCATATCTATATTTGGAATAATGGAAAAGTACCTGAGAAAATAAATAAATAAACTTTGAAACTGTTTTGTACTGTGAAGGTCAGCAACTGTCTTTCTTTATATTTGAACTTTATTTGTAAATTTATAGACCACTTTATAGTATTTCCACTGTTTTTTTAGAAATAATCTTGTAAGATATGTTAGGTTGGGAGATGTTTTTGAAGACATCATTGAAACTTTATAACTATGCATACTACGCATACTGTAGGCATTCTGATGGTAAATATTTGTAATAGCATGTATAAAACCATCCACAAAATCCATCAAGCCCACTAAAAAAATAGGGTTGAAAAGATGAAATATGAGTATGTTTTCTTCAAAAATTAAATTTATACGTAGATTTCACTTCAAAATATTAGATTATCATTATATAATTTAAAACTCAAAACTGTATTCCAGTTTTTAGCAGATGCATAAAAACTCTGAGATACAGAGGATGAGGCTAGTTGCCTTTAATCAAAATAAAGCTTCGGACTTTCTTAATTGATCTATTCTTTTAACTGATCTATCTGATACCAGAACTGGAAGAAAAAAAAAAGCCATATGTGTAGTGAAACACAGGAGCAGCAACATAAATAAATATATTTATTCATTTCACGATTTAGTTCCTTCTGCAAATTATCATTCTTCCAAATTCACATTATTTATGTGAAGTTCTACCTACTCCAAATTGGACTGGATTGGATGGTCTATCACATCTGAATGAAAAAATAATTCACAATTTTTCTAACCCTTTCACCTTTATGGTTGAATTTAAAATGAATTATGTGATATGCACCTTGGGCAGGACGTTGAAGAGAATTTGAATCTTCTCTGCAGGAATTGAAACTACATTCATTTCAAAGGAAAATAACAGAGACGCAACTAGCAAATATATCCAGCTACATATTAAGATGAAGTCTAAATATAATCTTGCTAGTTTAATGAAAAAAATTAATAAGCATATTCTCTTTGATATTGACTATACCATTTTAATCTATTATATTTAATCTGCATCACTAGCTAATGCTAGTAATATGATTTCTTCTTCATTTCTTCATTCAATATATTATATATTGGATTTATATTCAATCAAATAAAAATTTGTACATATGTCTGTTTACTTAGCATAGACCTATAATGCCATTATATATATTTCTATCAAAAATAAATCTTACTGATTTCAAATTAAGTGCTATGAACCCTTGTCAACATAACATAAACTCTTGCCAACATTTGCTTAACGTGCTTTGATTTCTGTCCACACAACCCACTTTACATTATAATTCGAGCAGTAGAATATGGTATTACAACTGAAACAAAAATGCACTTATAAGACAACTAGTAAGAACATCTAGATCCCACTTGTCCAATAAGTTAACAATTTATGATGTATAAACTGATTTTATAGGTTTAGATAAATTGAACAGTTCAAATGCCCAATGCTTATCAAGGCACATATTTCATGCTCATACTTAAATTTGCAGTCATTATCTTTTCTACATCTTGATTCACATCACAATGCCAAATCTGGGGTTCTATGATTACTCCCAATCCATTTCATCTCTGAATAATTGTCCATACACTGCAGCTAAACTGGTTTTCTGAACTTTGATTTAACATTAACCAAAGATAGCCAAGGAATAGAGGAAGGAAGAGTCCACTCCAGATAAAAGATTCCTCTCAAGAGAAAATCTATATAAGCTTATGATGTGTTTTCAATAGTTTTCGTTGCAACATCTGAACTGGCCTTTATATGTAGAAAGTTGTTCCTGAGTTCATGTATATTTTCATCAAAGTCTGATTATTTCAGAATACCTACAATTCAGCTGGGTCCTGTAAGAAAGTACTTCAGTCTGAGCCATATTTTCCCAGTATCTCTCTTTCTGCCATCTGTTTGTCCATCTGATCTATCATTTTATTTGTCCATGAAACCTGTATGATGCCAATCACATGGTTTTAATTAGCACCTTTTTAAAAAATTTAAAAGTACCTTTTATTTAAAAAAAAGTACCTAAAAGAAATGGTACATTGCAATTAAATTGTCCTTTGCTTTTTATAAGCATTATTCTGTTTTCTACAGAAATCTAAATATATTGACCGTATGGGGAGCCAGAATGGTAAGTATTTCACCAGAACATTTCCAATGATGATAGAACCATCCATATGAAATTCAATTGTTTGGTTTTAAAAATGTATGGACTTATTATCCATACATTAATAACATCCATTCCTAAAGAATGCAATAACTTGGGTTCTAAACTGAATATTTAATAAAGTAGACTGTTTGACAAGGTAAATGATAAATTGAATTATATTATTTATATGGACAATCATATAAAATTACTTAATAAATAATAGTAAATCATTTATTGTGATGACAGTGGAATAATAATATACAATGGATCAATATAATTGTATATATAATTGTATATATAATAATATACAATGGATCAATATAAATGATCAAATGAATACTGTACAAGAATATTAAATATTAATATTAATATTAACCTTCAAGCTATCTAAGTATTCATATTAAGTATAATTTGTATTTTTAAAATTAGTACAATAAGATTAATTACACTTTAGTTAAACACCTTAAGTCATCTGTTTTAGGTTACATAAAATTTGCCATTAGATATTACTTCAAACTATCTAGTTATTCATGTTAAGTATAATTTGTATTTTTAAAATTAATAAAATAAGATTAATCACATTTTAATCAAGCAAAAAATGTTGACTGTTATTTCTTGTTACTTCTTATACTGAGAATTGTAAGATGACCAAAACACTATATAATTTAATATCTGAAATCTACCCTTTCCAGACCATACAGTGGAACAATCGTATATTCCTAGTCACACAGACATGGAGTTTCATACAGAGGCACTCAAATATGCTGGTTTTGGAGATTAGGCTCAGGATTATTTAAAACAGTTGGGCAATAAATACATCAGTAAAATACATGCTACAGCTAACATGGTGTCTTGGATCAGCATAAATACAGAAGGCATTTATATCTTTTAAAGCAAAGGCCTATCTTGGTGCCATAACACATATAATTAAAGAGAGCTTTGGTTTAGGAAATGTATAGATACTATATAAAAATGTTCTGGTAAGTCCAGATTTTCTGTGGGGTCTCCCTCTCCTGCAAAGCAAATGGCAAGAATTCTTTTTCTGTATGTCTCCATATCCTTGCCTTCATCTTATCTCCTGCCCATGAGTAAAACAGGCTTATAGGTTAAACCTTTCTTAAATGTATTTTGTTTTCCCTCTTAAGTTGGTAACATCTGGAGACATCGAGATGTGTAAAGTCTATAATGTTTTGTTACTCCTCACCTTAGAGGTTGCAGTGATTGAAACAGAACCAAGAAAGGCAAGCTAGAGACGGGAATAGTAGGGAATGAGAATAGCAAAATTCATACCAATATACCCTTCTGCTGACTCAAAATTAGGGGAAGGGAAGGAATAGTACTATAATTCTAGTACTATAATTCAGTGATGCGATCTATACTTGAAAAATAAGGAATTGCTCTTTTTTGCCAAAAATATGATAGATCTTTTGCATAGTTTCTTAGAGTTTATTTTCCTAGGGTTTACTAGTTTCTAGCATTTGAGCTATTAAAAGCACACCTTAGAATTTTTTTTTCTAGTAAATGAACAACAGTCAGCAGTCTCTATTTGGTCCCAGCTGATTAGTTAGTGCATTACTGGAGGATGAAAAAGTTATTCCAGTTTACACTAATTTTCCTCTGCAATCCACTTTCATGTGACTTTTATAACCTAGTGATACAATGGTAGCTGGTAAGTTTTCCATCACCCAAAAATGCCCAGTTATTTAACAATAACAAAAACAAAACACTTTTATTTACTGGAATTATGTGAAGTGTATAGTTTTGGATTAACAGGATGAATATTTATTTTTTTAAAAATTGAGAATACTCTGGCTCTGATCTCTCTGGGCAGAATGCAGAAGCAAATTAATTGTAAATATGCATTTTGCATTAGTTGAAAAATGTTGGATTTTCATTTTTAAAAAGGTAGCTGGGAAAGCTTGAAACTTCATTCTCAAACTACATGTAGTTCTCACAATGAATGCATCAGAATAGAGGATTTTGTTCTGATTCAGCATTTTCTAACCTGCTGATTTACAGATATACTATGAATACAACCATAGGTCTGATAACTCGAGTTACAATATACCTGCAGGGTATTTCCAGATTACTGTTTAATCTAATTATTATATCCTAGACATCTTGTATCTGCATAGACCAGAGGTACCAAACTATTTCTTCGAGGGCCAGATCAGGATTGTAGTTCTCTACGGGATGGGGAGCAGGGGGAGAAATGGGATGGATGCCTCCTACAGCACCCTGCCAGCCAAAATGGGGCACGGAGGGGGCCACATGTGGCCTTCCATGCCCGGTTTTCAGCCTGGACGGCCTTCTGCAGCACTTTGCCAACCAAAATTGGACACTGGAAGGGGGGCACGGGCAGCCTACTTGAGCCTCATTTTTTGCCTCCATGGTCTCCTGAAGCACTCTCCCAAACAAAAATGAGCCACATGGAGCCCCCCCGGCCCATTTTGGCTAGCAGAGATACTGCGAGTCAAATCCGGCCCGTGGGCTGGTCCTTTGATATTCTAGGCTGGCCTTGAGTTTTATAACCCTGGCATAGACTGTTCACCTTAATAGGACATTGATCAATAGTATAGCATACTATTAACTTATAATATTCTATTTTGATAATACCCAGTACTTAAATTCTTAGTACTTACATACTTTTCTAATCCTCAGGATCTTAAATACTGACCTAATCACACTGAAAGTCTGGAAATAATAGATCATCTGGGAATTAATAGACATCTGGTGAATCTGGTTGTTCCAAGTGATTAGATTTGGCATACATATAGTTTCTGTTATAGACAACATGGATTAGAATCAACCCATTCTCATATTTATATCATCTCAAAAGTATTTTGAATTACCTCCACTGATCAGAATATGCAGTTTTCGAGGGAAGATCCTTCCTCTCCCATTGTATGGAAACTAAGTGACTTCAACTCTATCTTACCAGGTTCATTCATTTTGTCCAATTATGATAAAGGTGGTCTTTCACCCTGCTTTAAAGTGCAGGCAGTCCTTGCTTAATGACCACTTGTTCAGCAATTGTTTGACACTGTAACAGTATTGAATAAGTGGTAGCTCTGTCTGCTCCTCAAAAGTTCTATCTGTTGCAGCATCCCTGCAATTACACGGCTACGACTTTTACTGGTTTCCTACAAAGTCAATTGTGAAGTTGGCAGGAAATCACAAACGGTGACTTTGTGACATCCTCTCTTAATGACAGCATGGGATTTGCTTAAAAAGGTACATTTTTAATAAATCCTTTCAATAAACAAATAAAATTTATAACCACCATTTATTTTTCATTTTATAGCCAATTTTCTGTCGTTAGCACTTTGCCTTTGAATCGAGTATTCCAAAACTTAATTAACAAGTTCTACAGCTTGAAAGAGTTGAAAAATTATACTTTCAAGCACATATAAATGGCTAACTCTTTTTTTCTACATTTTTCCCTATAAATCTTTTAGAACTTTACTTTGAAAGCAAGTTTTCTTTCTGAGACATTTCTTTAAAGAAAATCTCTTAATAACTTTGTAAATCTGTTAATACTCTCTTTTAAGATAATATTTTCTTATATCAGTTCTTATATCAGTATAAAAAAATCTTCTATCTTATTTTACACAGCTTAAAATTACTGGAACATTTACAGTGAATTACAGCATATAATATTTCACTGTTGCCAGCTGAAAAGTGAAATGCTCTTATAACTCCAGCATCAGCCATTTTGAGATAACTATTTTTATTACACTGCTCTCCTTCCAGGCAATTTCATTTTAATTTTTGTAAAAAATATTGTACACAACACACAAATGCATGTTAAGTTTAAATCACCACAAAAGGTACATAAGTGCCTAACATCTTATCCTGATACTTTCATTATTTATTATGCATTAATTCATTTTGTAATATTTCACTGATTCAGGTTACATGCTATTAGGTCCAATACAGACCTATTGCCTCCTCCATCCTCTCACATTAAAATTTCTTGTGGGGTCTTCTTTCTCTAACCACTCAGCTTTAGAGCCTCAGCATAATCATTTACATATCTCTGTTTCAATATGGATTTCATGCAATATATGAAGTTATTCCTGATACAACAATTATGTAGTTATTTATTTCTTTTGCATATTTTCTGTATATTATAAATATCAAGCCAGTCATGGCTTGGATCAGTATGTATTTCAGATATAGCTAAATCTCCAAAAACTGCTTTCCAATAATTACCAAGAAAAAATGGATATATTATTTATTAAAGCTGTGTAAGCACAAAACAGCATTATGTACTTTTACCACCAGGTGAGCATATTAGAATTGGGAGAACCTTACCTTCATTTTAACTGTGGCAAAAGAATAGGTTTAACACTCTAAGCATAGATCTTAGAGTGTTAATTGAACTTAATAAAACCTGCTCCATATCAACTGACCATCATATAGCAGTTTTTACTACTAAAACATTTAATGCAAGTGCACTATAAAGGTAAATGTAAAGGTTTCCTCTATCTAGTTGTGTCCAATTCCAGGGGGGAAGTGCTTGCTATAAGGGGCTGTGTTCATCTCCATTTTTTAGCTGAGGGACCCAAGCATTGTCCAAAGACATTTCTGTGATCATGTGTCCAGCATGACTATACATGGAGGTGCAATGAACGCTGTTACCTTCCCACCTAAGTGATGGTACCTCTTTATTCGCATTTGCATGCTTTCAAACTACTAAGTGAGCTGGAGCTGGGGTGACCCCCGTTACGCAGTGCTCAGGTCTCAAACCTGGACTGTCAGGTTTTCAGCTGACAAGCTCAGTGTCTGTAACCGTTGAGCCCTCCCTCCCCAAGTTTATTAAATGCAGGATACACTCTGCCACATTATAAATGAACATTTGAAAATGCATCTTCAATTTAGACATTTTAAAAATTAAGAAGAACAATACCTGATTAAGCACAGCACCCACTTTCCATTTATTAAAAATGTACAATTTTTAGAAGATAATGCAATTAATCAAAATCAAATGAATGTATAAATACAAACAAGCTTTCTCATTTTTATTTTAACCAGTACACCAAACCTTTACCCATATATTTCTTATTTTCAGCTAAGGGGAAAAAAAGAACATTAAACGCATTTTTCTGAGATAATGCCTAACTTTAAATATCCTCAATTCTGATTCATGGATGACATAAGTCATCACTTGCTTATCACATAGAAGCATTTTATAAAAGAACATAACCTTTTCTGACAAAATATTGGATCATAGAGCTTGATGGTAGAGTGAAAACAAAATGTTTAGCAAGACTTAGAATAAATATTCTGATATTCTTTGAAATATTAGTTAATGGCTAGTTTTGATTGGTAAAGAGCTAAAATGACATACACGGAAGAAATATAGATTAGGAAAATAGAATCAATCGTATGTACATTTTGCTCAAATGTATAAAGCTTTATGAATGCATAGATGACGTAAGCCAAAGTGGATAAGAAATATCTATCCTATATACAGGCACAAGATGTAAAAGGGGGTGGGAAGATGATTCAGAACTGTTTGACTAGCAGGATTTAATATGCACAAAACTGATGTGATGGGGGTCAGTCTTTTTTTCTATTTACCCAAAAGTTTTAGCCATCTCTTGATAAGATTGATCTGGTATCAAATTAGAGAAAATATTTTGATGTGAAAAGAACTGTAGAGACACTGTATACATGTCTGTCCTAATGATAATGAAAGAGACGGATAAAGGAGAAAAAACAGATTTACGCCCTCCCAGGCCGCTTAAACCAATTTCCCTCTGCCTACCTAGTTTCTGGTGTACGGTAAGCAAACACTTCAATACGGAAGAGAGCCATTCGGTTGGTTCTGACCTAAACTGACCAATTAAGAACACATCTCCGATCTCCCCAACCCAGCAGCAGCCAGGAAAGAGTCCAAGCTTGGCAAAGCTGTCAAGTGAACCTCACCCCACCGCATTCTCCCCGTCTTCCCATTGACCGGAATAAAGGCTCTTTTCAGAAGCCAGGTCAGGGTTCAGCTCTTCAGCTCCGCAAGCCGCCCTCCCCCTTCTCCCCTGCCTGCCAGAATAGGATATCCCGTGTCGTGCAACCCTGTCACCGCGCCCTCCCGACCGCTTCCTCCCCTCAGCTCAAGTGATCCTGAGGATCAGCCTCAGAATAACCCAGGGCATCAGTCCAACCCTAACCCTCTCTCGGGCTGCGGCGACTAAGAGCAGCTCGAGGCAGGGGGAAAGCCGGCCTGGAAGGCGCGGCCTGTTTTCCCTCCTCCGACACAGGCCGCAACGCCGAAACAGGTAGGTGGCGGAGGACCAACCCGCGCCCCCGCCTTCTTCCCACCCACCACATGGACAAAAGCATCTTCGTCCCGTCTCTCGTCCAGCCTTCGGAGGCCCCCCAAACTCTGGACGCAGCCACTTACCGGCTTCCCAAGCCAAAGGCCGAGAGGGCACCACCAGCGGCAGTCGCAATACACGCACACATACACACAGAGGGTCTGGGGATTGAAAGCTAGCCGAGCCAATCCCGCCCGCGGCCTGGGCAACGCCGACCAATCCCGGCTCTCACCTCGCCGACAGGGGCCAATCGAGGAGGAACATAAGATAAAGATTGGATGGAGCAGCCCGGCTCTCTATGGGCTGGGCTGGGGTGGTGGTGAGGGTTGCGGATGTCTGTCCTCACCGCCTTTCTTGGGCCCTCGCCGCTTTCCTTCCGCATCTGCGACTCCACCTATTTGGAGCGATGCACAGCCGCGTCCCGTCCTCGCAAAGCGCGCAATTCTCCCCTCGCCTCCCTCCCCCCCTCCCCGGGACTCCTAGAGAGGATGGGCGGCTTGCTGTCATCTCAGCCAGAATCGCAGAACCGAAAGGGGCCATTTTGGCCAGTCCCTGCGAAATGTAGGAATACAGCTTAAAAGAAAGCCCTCTGTCCTGCAGTGAAAAACCTTCCAGCTGCCTAAGTAACTGGCTGCACTGTCAAGTTCCGTCTTAGGAAGTTTGTCTTGGTATCTAATCAGAATCCGCCTTCTTATAAATATTGATAATAAAAAAACCACCATTCCGTGTCCAGCTCTCTGGGAGATAAAGAACATGTACTCGACCTGTGTGATTCTTCTTAAGTTATTTGGGGAGCGTTGGCTTCTTTCCCCTCAGGCCATCTTGACCAATAAAGTTTTATTGTTCAGCAGCGAATTCTCTGGGAATTCAGGCAGGAGTTTTTCCGATGCCCTCGTGTCAAATCAGCAGAAACAAAACTTTATATAAAATGTAATAACATTACCGGAAGCCACTGCTACAAATTAGGCGTAGATTATTCTTGAATATTTTGGCCAGCCTCCACCCCTCATGACCCAAATGTTCAATGTCTTGATAATACATCCTCTAATTCCCACTCCTTTAACCTCAAACTATCCACCATTGACCTCACCCCATTTCTAAGAGGTCTGTCTGTAAGGGGCATGCATAAGTGCACAATCGTGCCTGCCATCCCTGTCCTTTTGTCCCCATTTATTTGTACCGATTTCCTGTATTCTTACTCATGTTTATACTTATACCTATTATCTTGTAAGCGATTGACAAATCAAATAAATAAATAAATAAATAAAAATAAATTTCTACATCCTGGTGTATAATGAGGAATACATATAATGTTATGCACTATCGGCCTAAACAGTCGTATCGATTTAAGTCCCAAATGTGGCAAAAATAAAACAAGTCCAAGCCTCCATCCAATTAAAAATACAACTCATGATTTTTTTTTTCTAACAGCAAGGTAATTTCATCCAAGTTTTTAAAGTGTTCAGTACACATGAATATTCTTTCACATAAATAGCTTGTGCATGGTCATTTTTCTTTAAATATGTCAGTGATCAAATAAGTCTTAATTTCAAAATCAGGCAGCTTTACATGTCAGTGGTGAAAAGACTTAAAAGAAATTTTCTTTCCCTTAACACCTAATTTAGCTTACAGTAAGAATGCATAGTCAGGAAGAATCGCTTTATACAGATTAATTTTCTGCCTGTAACTAGGACATCTGAAATAGACTCTGGCTTTTTGAAAATATAAAATACATAGGTTGAAAGGCATTTTTCTTCTAGTATAAAATAATGGCAATTAGAAAACTGATCAATTCTCCGCATCATGAAAAAACAAGTATCACCTTGAAGCTACTAGGAAATACATAAATTGCCTTGTAGTAGGCCAAATTATTTAGACATCGAGAAAGCTCTCTGGTCAACACTGTATAACATTAGTACTTGCAATCTGATGTTTGTTTTATTAGAGATCCAAAGATTACACTGCAGACCTACATGCAAAACAATTTAGTCTATACTCTATAACTAAGCTATAAATAAATCTATAAAACATGATGATATTGCAACAATACCGTAATATTTTCCCGCTGCTACATTTACTTTGTTTTCATACCATCTACATAAGTAAGGGAATAGCAAATAGAGTTTTTGTTTTGTTTAGTTCAGATTCAGTATGTAGAATTAAAAGAAGGCATAAAAAGGTTAGAAACATCTCACTTCCATTTCTCTGCAGATAAATGCTATTTATCAAATTTATAATAAAATTGAAGTCTTCTTTGATCCAGGTTCACTTCTGGTCATTCATGTTTACAATCGGAGTTTTCTTGGCAATAAGATAGAAATGATTTGCCAGTCAACCTTATAATCCTGGTACTCCCAAGAGTTCATTCGGCTACTAATCTGATCTAATTCCATTTCAGACACTTTTACATGACCATCTAATTGGGGAGAGAAACAGCTTGTGTTTCAGGAAGATATAAATGGATGAACTTGTTAACTTGTTAACCCACCATGAAGGCAACCTCATGTTTTCCTGTTCCAGTCATGTTTCCTGCCTTTAGCCAATAGAAACCTAGCTACTTGGAAAATTTGTACAGTAATACCTTGGGGTAAAATTAGGAATGAGAACCTGCCCTACTTTTAATGGCTTCCTAAGGCTGCTGGAAGCATGTGTATACCCCTCAATTTCTGATTAGTATTTCCCAGATCAATATACCTTTGGGCAGGTGTGGGAGAAAAGGAAGTAGTTTTTTTTACCTCTTTACTCACCAACATTACTAATAAAGCTGCCCCATCCACTCTTAGCACCTCTAGATGCATCAAAAACACGCAACACCAAATCTCATGCTATCAGTTCTTTGATCCCAGTCAATTGGTCAGACTAGAGTTAGAACAGTGGTCACCAACTGGTAGGCTACAGCCCACTGGTGGGCCATGAGAAAATTTTGGTGGGCCGCAGAGAAATGTCCCCCCCCAAGCACCCCCCAAACCCCGCCCACCCACTGGCTCCCACCCTTCGGTCGAGCACAAACCTGCAAAAAGCAGCACAGCTCTCGCCGGGCAGGATGAGGTAATGGTGCTATTGCAGCAAGAAGGGGCTGGTGGCACAGGTGGGCTGAAGCAGCAATGGAGATGGCCGGAAGGTGCAGGAACGTCACACTACTTGCATTTGCGCGGCTCTCCCGCAGCTTCCCGCAGTTTGCCTTTCCTGGCCTGGGCTCTTCCTTGATGGCCATGGGCTGTAGGGACGGCCCAGGGCAAGAAAAGTACTGGCTACTGGTGGTGGGAGGGGGCAGAGTGGGCAAGTCTGCGCTCACCATCCAGTTCTGAGGTCTGGGGCATCAGCATCAGTTTCCTCATCCCTCCGCCACGGCCCTCACTGCCCAGGGAAAGCACAGGAAAAGCAAGCAGAAACATAGCTCTTGCTGGGGCAAAAGAGCTGAGATTGAGGAAGGTACAGGCAAGAGAAGACAGAAGCTGCTGCCTTTGAAAAGTGCTGCTTTCTGTTGCCAGTGCCTTCTGATCTCTGCTCTTTTGCCCCAGTGAGAGATGTTTCTGCTTGCTTGCTTTTCCTGGGGTGGGGGGTGGGGGCGCAGCAGAGATGTCAGGGCTGCTCTTCCCTGTTGCGATATGACACATCAGTAGGAAGTCACGTACACAGACAACCC